CTATAAATATCAAACTTTTAACTTCAACTTCAAACATGATTTATTGATTTAAAAAAAGGATAAATGGTTAGTCGCAGGATTACCTGTGACTGCATTTCCTTTGTCTTCGTCCATCTGTGTCCTTGCACTGTAACACTGCAGTGAACCCAGCTTTGGTGTCTCCCCAGTCACCTTCTGCTTCACAGAAACTCTCTCCAACTGTTTTAAAGAACAAATGTTGTGGCTTGATTTATCAATGATAAGTGAAACAATAACATAATAAAAAAACTTTATGGGGGCAGTAAATTAAGATTTTGGTAACTTTTAATCATGAAGATGAAGTAAAATATTGCTGTGGGAGTTCGCTAGTAAAAAACATGCTTTATCTTGAACTTAATTGTGGCATTATATGAAATACACAGAGATATAATATGGCAAAAACATATATATTTTTATGTTGGAGAAACATATCTTTAGTTTAACACCTACCATGTATGACATTGATATCAACTGATGCGTCTTTCCTCTGATTGAGTCTGTTCTGAAATGTGCATGTCAGTTTCGGTGTTTGCGCAGATGAGTCGCAGCCGACCACTGTGTTAGCTGCATACACAATTTCTCCAAAGGAGCCTGCAGGGATGACATAGGCATCGCAGGTCATTTCATCACCAGCTTGTGCAAGAATGAGCAAAGGGCAAAGATGAGTACAATAAAATGTACTTACGATCGGCCTTTAATGTAATAATTTTCGCATTCATTTCTTGACTTGTCCATGTCACGGTATAATTTTCATTATCCTCCCTAATCAAGCATTTGCCTCTTACTTCCAGTAAATCATCTTTGTTTTGGCAGCGTGGAAATTGTGGGACTGTGGCGATGTGAATGTTTGGCAGGAGAGCAACATCCATTACGGCACTGGCTCTGTGACTTATGTTTAGTGATGATTTCTCTTGATGGAATTCACATGTGTACTCGCCTGAGGAAAAAACAAACAGGCAGGGATGAGATTTAAAGTGTGTTAAATGTTGTGACTATTCTGATTGTGTTTTAGATTGGGACAAAAAATAGACAAAGGGAGTCAGCGTTCGTAAAGTTCTACAAGATATAACTAATTTAACAGAAAACCCTGTTCTTCAATTGTATTTCTATAAATTAAACCATTATCTTAAGGTGGTACAATAGTTAAGTTGCTGTTAAGTTGCATTGTGGGTAATGTAGGCAGCACATTTTAAGGAAGGAGAATAATTGGAACAAAATGACATGTAAAGTTGTTTTGAAATTGTTCATTGTTAACATTTATGAATTAGCTGGTTATGTAAATGGTGCTGCCACACAGGCATGCTAATTTGTCCCAGTGGTCACTTGTGGTATTGCAAGTTAATCCCCTACCCAAAAAGTATTTTCCCTCAAAGAGGAAACAAACCTGGAAGGCAGATAACCTAGTTACGTATGTAGTTTCTATAATTCATTCATTATTTAAGTGGTGCACTCAGCAAAAAACCCTTTAACCTGCAAACCAATAAAGGTTTCAGATAAGTTCAATGAACCCCCATAACTCAGTGAAGTCTTATGAAATGAAAATTGAAAATTGAAGTACAAGTACTAAAAATTGTGCCCAAGTACAATATTAGATGTCCTTAGTGACCTCCCACCACTGGTGACTAATTTACACACTAACTGTAGGAAACTGTCGTAATAGATATGTAAAGTACTGTGGCTAAAACAAACATACCTTTCCAGGAGGCTGATATGTTTTTTAGAGTGAGGTTGTACATGCGTGTTGTTGACGTCATGTCTGCCTCTGTGCCGTTAGTTATGGGAAATACTTCTCCGTTGTTATACCTCAGCCGCCACACTGCTGTGGTGTTCAGGTCCTCCTGTGATGTGCATACAAGCTTTTGCATGGAGCTGTACCTCACAGGGTTGTCTGGCATCGTTAAATGCACAAAACCTGTGAGAAATAAGAATCGCATAGACCTGAGGTGAGACTTGACTGGAATATTGTTAGCACTCCTCTAACCGTAGAAACACGGCATAATGTCCTCTGGATAGTTTGCGTCACTCTCTGTAAATGAAATATGTCTCGTAAAAATCTTTAAATTATCCACCAAGTGAAATTGTTTTGGAAATATTCATTTACCTCCATTTTGAATTGGAAAGGCAGATTAAAGCATCAAAATCTAAAAACTCCCTAAAATAAAAAGCTATGCCTACAGTTTAGTGAGGGCTGATTTATGAAACAGTGAAACATGATTTCACACATAGTACTTTAAATGTTCATCGTGTAGAGTTTAGTGACATCTAGTGGTGAAGTTGAATGTTACAGCTAAATACCCCTCACCCTCCGAACATGACAGAGAACCTGTGGAAACGTTCAGTTGTCATAAAACGGCCTCCGTAGAGAGGACCCCCTCCAGATGTAAACATAAAGTATTTAAATACAAATGGCTCATTCTAGGGTAAAGAACACAAACACTTTAGTGAAACATCATTAGGATTATTTTATATTCAATTTCTCCCAATAGATCCCTTTCACCTAAATCTTACACACTGGACCTTTAAG